ATTACTTTGCTTAACATCCAGAGGAGGTTTCAGCTCCATTTTCCTCTCTGACGATCTCCATCTCACGTCAAGATTTTTCAATAATGGCCGGGCTCACCCCTCTAAATCAAGCGAGCAATTTTACCACTTCCATTAAAGTTTAAACGCAATTTCATAAAGACGCACGATGCCAGATTGTAGGTGATTCACACGGAAGAGAAAAAGAGCCATTACTCTGTCATTTCACACCTTCTCGAGGCAACTTTATGCACGCTGGCGGCCCTAAATAGCAGTGATAGAAGGCTGCTGTCACAATTCCGAGCGTCAGCACCCACAAATGGCGCAACATGGCGCCACCGAGTTGTGTGCAGCACACTCGTCATATGGAATGTTTTTTTGGAAAAGCTTGAGAAAAAGATAGATTTAATACTAGTGAATCCAGGTGTATGTGCGCTACACGGACTTTGGGTTGTTAAGGAGAGAGGAGAGAGGGAAGTCTGTTGGAAAACTCCAGTGAACAGAGTATCTTACTTTTGATTTCCAAGAATAAAGGCGAGAATAGGAAAAATTTGTACCGCATCAATTGGGGTTGTAACAGTTCACTGGACTCTGCAGCATGGCTTGTCCACAACAAAGCCCGGGGCTGGACTGTGGAGGGATTTGCTGCTGCAGAGGAAAAAGAAGAAGCTATCAGAGTGGCTGTGCTGTCCTACAGGTACAGCGCTACGTATAGCACAGAGATCTGTGTCTAACATACGGCAAACAGCTGTCCAGCCATGTCCATGTGAAGGTTACCTTGCACAACACTCTCCAGCTTATGAAACACACCTTGTTTTTGACACGCTCTTCTGCACATTATAATATTTTTTTGAAACATTGAATAAAGAGGTTAAATAAGGTTTTCATCTTCTATAGTCACAATAGCCTCTATAACCTTATTTTTGCCAGCATACATGCCTAAGTCAACCAGATTATAGAGTCCAGAAGGGAAACTGGAGTAGAAGGAACTTTTTGTGCATTATTTGGTATTTATTTATCACAGAATGTCATAAAATCGTATTAATCCATCCGTGACTGCATGTACTGTTGTGTATTCTGCTTTAGAGTTGGGATTTGCAAGCTCTTTGTTGAATCTGAATCTGCCCATTTGTGACACTTCTTTCATGATTTTTGTTTTTGTGTCAAATAAATTTAAATAATCAGTAGCATAAATATACATGCTCTTTCAGAAAAATGGGCAAAGGCATACTGATCTTTGTCATCTAGTCTCCCTCCATCTGAATCAGTATGCGATCACCCTTTGAGGTGTTCCAACTGCACGTGACTATATTCCGCCTCGTGACGCGTGATAATCGAGACTTAACTTTATTACTCACCGATCCCTCTGAAATCTGCATAAGTCACTCGTACACTAAGCGCAGATAGAATGGCTCAGACTTCCTGAGTAATAGTTGTAAAGAAAAGGTAGGCGCATGACCTTATGAATTTCACAGGAGATTAAATTGATAACATCATTCAGTATCAAGACGGAGTGAGAGGAATAGCTCGGTCATGTTAAAGTGTGTTTGCATGTGTGCTGGCTGAAACTTTACGCTGACTTTCTGTACTAATTAGTACTACTCTGTACTAATTATTAGTTTTAATTGGAGTGATTGAAGAACACTTTATAGTAGCATAGTTATTTCCAGTGGGTAATACACTAATAGTACACTTGTTAAAGTATCACAAATGTTTTCAGGTCAGATATAGGAACCAATGAATGCTTCTGAGAAGTTTATCACAGCGTTATCAATTATTTAAACTAAATTCAGTTTGATATCTGAATAAGCTAGTGGATCAGCACCGTTCAAATAAAGGCAGAATTTTATGTGTCACCGACACTAATGTACTGTTGAACTGGAGGGGATGTACGCCTCTTGGTATTTGAGCAGCAGCTTTGCCCCCTTTCCACTAAAGTGTAGATTGCATTTCAGGCTTGCTAAAGGCCACGAGTAAAAGGACAGGGCCCTTAAACACTACACATGGCTCTTATCTTTTTCCAACCGAACCTCTTGTATCCTTGAAAGGTCACCTCTGCTTCTTGTTCGCTAACTTTTCTATGCTATAATACCAGAACCCCCCCACCTCCTAAAATGGTGCGAGCTCCACAGGAAACCTTTATGAGACTGGAAAGTATGCTGAACTTTTAAACTGCAGAAATCCAGCATCAGATCCATTTCTGTAGTTTCTCCAGCTTTGCAAAATGCTATCGAATCACACATTTCTTTTCAGAGAAGAAGAAGATCCAAAGAAAAAAAAGAAAAAAGCAGCCTCTTTTGAGTTCACAGGGCTTTTTAGGTGGTGTTTCTAGATGCTGTCCATTAAAATGAGTCCTTGAGAGAAACTGTCTGTCACCGCAGACAGCTCTCGCCATGAAGCCTTTTGGGGATTAGCTTTGCAGCGCTGAGAGGATCAGAACAGTATGCATCAAGTCTGCAAGAATTTGAATGAAGTAAAAACCTTTTGCATGGAGTTTCACACCATTTCAGCAGCGCTCAGTGAATCCTAATGTGATCACTCAGACACACAGGGCAGCAGAGAGAAAAGGTCAGCTAATGACTGAGTGTAGCCTTGTTGTGTAAATATTTTTCCTCTATTTAAAGTCTAAATAATTATGGTCAAAAGGAAATTAGAACTAGTTACAAAAAGAACGTCACATTCTCTTCTTTTAACCCCAGCTTGGGGCAAACTATTTAACTATGCAAATTATCATTTTTGATAATTGGGCTCAATTTGAATTAAGCTCTGCTCGGAGTGACAAAACTGGATACTTTCATACCTGTAATTTAAAAAGTTATCTAAGTTATTTAAAACAAATACGATATTTAGAATGGGCCAAATGTCACCAATTAAGTTTAAGAAAAGCAACATCCACACATCTAAATTGGTTTAAAGTGTCAAAAAGTCCTAATTCCTAAGTGTGGCAGGAAGATATAAGCTTTACTTTTCGATGTTTCATTGAAAAATAAATCCTTACATGGGACAGGTCCCAGGCCAATGGACCAGTTTGTTATGGTTTATGAAGCACATTTGAATACATCATGATATAATCTGTTTACTGGAAACTAATCAAGTCACCTTATAGCAGCTACAAAAGTTGATGCTGATAATATGTAAAATAACAAAAAAAAATGGAAATTTACAAAATACAAACAACTTAAAAAAGAAAACTTCTGGCCAACTAAAGCAAATGTCTAATGTTTAGAATCATACCTGCACAATATATGATGTCTTTCAGCTTTTTGAATTACAAAGCCAATTGTTTCTTATTATATTTCACTCCATTTGCCAACATTTGAAACATGAAATTATAAACAATTTGAATGCTAAGTTCTGCCAGCTGACACATTTTACAAATGGCTTGCCAAATATGAACCTTGTGACCTTGCATCGTTGATTGAACACAAATAGCCCACAACAACAGAACTGGCATTTAATGACTGTCGATTTTTAGCACTTCCTCCTAATTCTTGCAAAAACCTCTGCTTCTGTTGCTGTTTCTGTCTCATTTGTATGTGTGGAGTCACATCAACAGAAGTTAATTTGTTTTTAATTGTTTGAGAAAATGAATGCTTTACACGAGAGCATGACAATAGTGCGAAGTGTGAAAGTCTCTTGCTCAGTGAAAGTTGACAACTATAGAGGCAGATTAACTAAAAAGTGCAATGAGTTCTCCAAAGATGAACACAGCCACAATGTTTCCCTTCCTCTTTGCACTTTTTATGACACTCTGTGGGCAGATAATACACAATTTTCGTTTTAAGCGTGTCTGGTTTGGCCAGATTAAATTAACCCATGCAAGCAAATGCAGAAACAAACCTTGTGAATTCCAGTAGTAAAACCAGCATCCTGAGTAACATGCTGACAGGGGGACGCTTTTGATTTAAAAAAAAAATGTCATTTGATCCCAAGAAAAGCAACAGGAATCAAAACAATAGTCGATACAACATAATTTTACTTTAAGAATAGGTTGTAGTTAAATAATTAAATTGAGGTAAATTAGGTGTTTTATCTGAACTGAATAATATTTACTTGGGAATAAAATGAAAAAAATCTGTATGGCAAGTCCAAGACATTTATGTTAATAGATGACAGCACAAACATGTGGTTAACATCAAAAGGAATAACAGCCGCCCCTCTTCTTGATTCCAGAGAAAACCGTGCAGTCGAAAAGAAGGGTAATTGAAATTGATTTTAGAATTTGAGTGTATTGGGAATTAAAGATCCAAATGTCTGGGGGAATTAAAAGTTTGCTGGGTGCAGACAAGGGTGACCATTCATTCCAAAGAGTCAGCCAGGTGTGGGAACTGTTCAGACCTTCTCAAAAATGACTAAACACCTGTGGCTTATGGAACCTTACACTGCATGATTCTTTTATAAAAAACTATGCAGAGACAATGGAGAAAGGGAGCAAGTCCCTTTTACCTTTACAAGGGTATGGAAAGAGGAAAAACATGTTGTGTAGAGATATGTAGAAAACATTGGAAGTCAAATTTAACCTATAGTTCCCATTGACATAATATTATATCTCCCAAGACAACATAGCTGTTGCCATTGAAAAAACTAATTGTATTGCTTATTTATATTATTTGCTTCAGAGTAGGGTCTGACCTGCTCTGTTTGGAAAGCGATGTGAGATAACTGTTGTTGTGATGTGGCGCTATGTAAATAAAATTGAATTGAATTGAATTGAATTATGTCTTCGTTCAGAAATAGATCTTTTCATTGCCAATTCTATACATATGCGGGCGCAAATATTGTTCTAATTATCTCAAGGATAATTAGACCAGCTCATTAAGAGAGCCCGCTTTTACCAAAATGTACACGGTGACATTCAGTCTGACCTAGAAAAACAGGATTATTTATTCAGAAACATCAAACATAGTACATATTTTGTTCACTCACAGAATTATGCAGTAGAAACTTGTCAAGTCAGTGTATGAAATTTAAACAGATTTTTGTTTTGTCTTTTTGTTTTTTTCAGGTCCCCTTTGTATGAGGTATCATGGACAAAGTGGTCATCAGCTTCCTGCTTCTGGGAACCGCAGTTACAATGGTCCATGCATGTCCCAAATACTGTGCCTGTCAAAACCTCTCAGAGTCCCTCGGGACTCTGTGCCCCTCGAAAGGTCTGCTGTTTGTTCCGCCGGACATCGATCGGCGAACTGTGGAGCTCCGGCTGGGTGGCAACTTTATCCTCAAGATCACCACTCAAGACTTTGCCAACATGACTGGTCTGGTGGATCTCACTTTGTCACGCAACACTATCAGTACCATCCAGCCTTTCTCTTTCATTGACCTAGAGACCCTAAGATCCCTGCACCTGGACACTAATCGGTTGACGGAAATTGGACCGGATGACCTCAGAGGACTGATTAACCTGCAGCACCTGATCCTCAACAACAATCAGCTAAGTCGAATCTCAAAAGAAGCCTTTGATGATTTGTTACTGACGCTGGAGGACCTGGATTTGTCGTATAACAACTTGCGCAGTGTGCCTTGGGAGGCCATCCGCAAGATGGTGGACCTTCACCAAATGAGTCTGGACCACAACCTCATCTCCTTTATCGCTGAAGGGACGTTTACTGATCTTGAAAAACTGGCTCGTTTGGACTTGACCTCGAACCGCCTCCAGAAACTCCCTCCGGACCCTATCTTTGCACGCTCCCAGAGCAGCATGCTGATGAGCACCCCTTACGCACCTCCACTCTCTCTCAGCTTTGGCGGGAACCCGTTGCACTGCAACTGCGAGGTGCTTTGGCTGCGGAGACTTGATCGCGATGATGACATGGAAACCTGTGCTTCTCCCACCAGTCTAAAGGGGCGCTACTTTTGGTCGGTTCGTGAGGAGGAGTTTGTCTGCGAGCCACCTTTGATCACTCAGCATACACACAAGTTACTGGTGCTGGAGGGTCAAACGGCTAGCTTGCGCTGTAAGGCTGTTGGAGATCCAATGCCAACTGTGCATTGGGTTGCTCCTGACGACCGTCTGATCAGCAATTCCTCCCGAGCTACTGTTTATGAAAATGGCACCTTAGACATAGCAATCACCACATCCAAGGACTATGGTATCTTTACTTGCATAGCAGCTAATGCTGCAGGGGAGTCTACCGCCTCCATTGAGCTATCAATCATTCAACTGCCCCACCTGACCAATAGCACAAACCGTACCACACAATCCAAGTCGGGACTTTCGGATATTACAAGCTCTACTAAGATCAGTAAAGGGGAGCCTAAACCTCCTCCGGAGAAAGTGGTGTCGGTGTCAGAAGTGACTGCCGTCTCTGCTCTGGTCAAGTGGACTATTAGCAAATCAACTCCAAAGGTCAAAATGTATCAGCTTCAGTACAACTGTTCTGACGATGAAGTCCTCATTTACAGGTAAGAAGAATTAATGGATCTCAATTAAGTTGTAAGCAGAGACCTTTGTAGTCAAAGAGGCCAATTAAACCAGATGTATCATTTTTCACTTCAGACTACTTGTGGCTCACTTTTCTCAATTATTTTCTAATTGTTTGCAGGGTGAATGCTTGAAATAGTCTCACTGTCTCTGAAGTTTTACTTGAAGATCAGTTTTCAGCTTTCTTAATACTTTTAGAGTTTTTTTCCCCCCATTCTCTTGAACTGGAAATTGGTAAAGATGCTACTTTCACATTTTATGTTAGGAAAAATAAATCCTTGCCCTGAACCATTAATTAGAAATCCAAGAAGAAAAAGGATTATGGGCCTCATGTTAATGTATCCTGCTTAAGCTGCTCAAGTCCATAGAAGTGTGAGCTTGGCGACTGTAGCTGGAGATCTTTGGGCTCTGTGAAATCAATTTCGTATTACGAGTGAGACAGTGAATGCAGCAACATTCAGCCAATACAATTGGTTGGGAATATAAAAAACAGCCTTGACATTTAGCACCAAATCAGTTGGGGTGCATTATAAGACAAGCAGAGTCAGATTCATTTCTTAGTCCCGAGTCTTGAATGTCTAAACCCACACTGCACGCTCTAATGCTTTTTGTCTATAACTCTGTCCTTTTCAGATTCAGTATTTCATAAAGTAATATTTGAATAAATCCTTTGAGAAAATACTTACAATGTAGTTCAGTGAAAATCTCATTTGAATTAGATTACCACACTAATTTATCCATTTTTGTGGGTTTTCCACGCTGAACTTTCACTGAAAAGCGCTGTTTGATCATCTGTTCCGCAGAACCCTGTTGCCTTTGCAATGCAACCGTTTTCTGATAAATAATAACAATAATCTGGGAAGGTAAAGCCTGCTTATGAGCCAGGAACCTGATATTGTAACTAAATACAGTAATGAAGAAGGATAAAACTATGTCAAACACTTTTGATTCATATCTCATCTCTGCAAATGCAATAATAAACTATGTATCAGATTCACTTGCATGCACACTCTGTGCCAGTTTTCTCTGCCAAAGTGGAGAGGACAATGAGTTTCCAGAACGTGTTTTTCTGCCTAGTCTCATAAACACTGCATGAGTCAACCACATTTCTACTTGTTATAAACAAGACTTAAATAAGAAAAAACATTTTTCATGGAAAGTCATTACAGTGTTTTAATCCATATTTTTGCTCCCAGTCAGTATTTGTGATGAATGAGAACTGCAATATTCACTCATTTTGAGCAATAGCTTTTTCTTATGTGCTGTAATGGTGGAAATTCATTATAACTTTAATGATGATTTGTTTTCAGTAAGCCAGATTTACAAGTGAATGTTGAGTGATGTCTATTTTCATTGCATTATAAAGTTTTCAGTAATGTCACAGGTCAGTGTGCGGCTATTTTACATTCATAGTGTTATCTCTGCTGTCTTTCAGATATCGAACATTAAGATATAAATCCAATTCCCCCTTACGGCCATTTCTTTCCTTTTTCTTTCTTGCAGGGAATGTACCAACCCTGTTTTTTATCTTAGAAATTTAGGGAGTAAAAATATGCAATTTTAATAAATCAACAGGCTCTTCCACTTAAAGCAACCCAAGGATTGTTTTATTATAAACATAAGCTGCTCTCTGTTTTTTTTTTCACATTGCACCTAAAGTTCACAGCCCAACAAAATCCAATGTTTTTTTTTTCTCTTGAAATGTTTTGATATTTACAATTTGTTTAGATGATGAGAATTACAAGAAAAATGGTAGACGATTTTTTAAACCACCCAGCAATTTAATACCTATTTTTAAAGGGCACCTTAGATCGGAGAGATGGATCAAAAGAATGAATATTTAATTTATCCCTGAAGGAAAATTGTGTTGTGAGTTAATAGCACTTCTGGTGGTCATTTTCTGTGTTGAATCCATTTTTCACGCTCAGCAGTTGGCCATTGACTCCAAACTATTGTTAGCACTTTATCAAAATCCCCTTATGTGCAGTTTAGGATGCAGTAAAATCTTGTTACATCTTTATCTATACAATAGAAAAATGTCATGCCAGACAAATTCTGAAATTATATGTTTACACTGCTTTCACATACTCGCTTAAAGCATGTCTCTAGCTGAATGATTCTATGTCCCACCTCCTGCACCAAAATAGGGCCATAAGAGAAAAAGAATAATAAAACATAAGTCAGAGTCATGTAGGGCAGCAGAGCTATGGCATGAGTCCTCTCAGACATGTAGGGAAGCACAGTTTCCTTCTAGTTATGAAAAAGGACAATTAAGAATGAATAATGAACCAAGAGGCTTCAGAGGGATCAAAGCTTTAGGATTTATGTCCAGCAGGGAGAACCTCAAATCAAAAATGGACACCGAACCCAGAAATCGATTTACAGATAACAACTTTAGAACGGCTTAGCCTGTAAGGCATATTCTACTAATTTACTGAACAGTATCAAAGCCATTAATTATTTTTTTTCGTGTAAATATGGCATGTTTTTCCAAGCATATGTTAATGCATTGACCGGATTATGTGATATATTTCTCAGAACGAGGTTGCACATGCCAAGCTCTCTGGGCCTCCGTTAATCATGTTGTTTTAATTAGGAATCCAAGTTTTTAATTTATTTATTGCCTGTCCATGGTCATAGAACACTGAATATGTGCCTACACTTTCTCCTGTTTCTCTTGTGATACATATTTTGAGTGTATTAGCATAGAGAGCTCTTTTTGAGTTGGAGACTGTAGTTACTTCTCAAATATTATGCAGAGGAATGGCCCCTCGATGTGTTTACAAATGTCTTACATAAAGAGGCTAATGTTGGTTTCTTGAATGGGTTTTCCAGTGGATTTAGTTGTTACTTACAGAAGCACACACCACACAATTAAACTAATTATGTGACATTTAGTGTTCTATTTCAATCTCTCTGTTAGCTGTGTAGACATTGTCCCTCCCTCTATATGAAGCTGTGAACTGAATTTCTTTTTTTGGATCTCTACAATACAATGTTTCAATGAGGAAATGAGAGTTTCACTCTCTGGAGAAACAACTATTTCTATCTGCATGTCATCAAATCCTGATGCTTTGTGAAAGCCGTTGAAGTGTCTTCACAATGTGTTTGTCAGTGGCAAAAACGCCAGTCAAACACAACCACTGCAGATATATTTCTCTACAAGTTAGGAGGAATGTGGTAACATAAGTTGACAAAGCAATAAAGTAAATCTTTCTGAATTATCCTCTGCATATAAATAGTTACTTAGCATGGTTATATATCACTTTAGTTCTTTTCTTTGTCCTGATATCCCATGACAAAAAGTCTGTAATATCTCTCTATCTCTTGTGTCTTTCAGGATGATTTCCATGACTAACAAGGCCTTTGTAATCACAAATCTAGTCCCAGGGATGCAGTATGACTTGTGTGTCTTGGCCATCTGGGATGACACTGCCACCACGCTCACTGCCACCAACATTGTCGGTTGCGTCCAGTTTATCACCCGAGAGGACTACCCACAGTGCCAGTCTCTTCACAGTGGCTTCATGGGGGGTACTATGATCCTGGTCATAGGGGGCATTATTGTGGCTACGCTGCTGGTGTTCATTATCATCCTCATGGTCCGCTACAAGGTGACCAGCGGAATCCAAACCAGTAAACTGCCAACCGTGAGTAACACATACTCACAAACCAACGGAGGAGTCAACAGGTTCAATGGCGCCCCGCCGCAAGTCAAGTCCACGGTAGTGGTCATGCGTGAGGAAATGGTAGAGTTCAAGTGTGGATCCCTCCAGAGTAGCCTCTCGTCGTCATCTTCCTCGTCTAACTCGTTAGATAGCCAAACAGGAAGAGCGATCGGTGGCCGCTACAGCGTTCAGGGCAGCGAATGCAGCACCCTGCCCAGCAACAAGTTCCGGAGGCATGGGCACAGTGCCAAAGCGCGGCAAAACCTGGATCACCTTTTGGGGGCCTTCACCTCTCTGGAGCTGCGAGGGGCGGCGAAGGACCAGGGAGTTTCCGGGCCCTCGACCGCTCCCAATGCCATGACGACGGTGGCCGTGGTGCCGCCATCCGACAAAGAACCCCTGCTTGGGAGGGCAGAGTCCACCACCATGCTGGGGCGTCTTCTAGGGTTTCCCCAAGAGGGAAAGCCCAAGAGGAGCCACTCATTCGATATGGGTCACGTCGGGGCGGCGCAATGCCGCAGCAGCCAGCCGCGGCGGATTAGCAACATCTGGACTAAGCGCAGTCTGTCTGTAAATGGCATGCTGCTGCAGTTTGATGACAGTGAGGACGAGAAACCCTCCTTTGAAAGCTCCGAATGGGTGATGGAGAGCACAGTTTGAGGACGTCCGCGAGGTCCGTGGCCAAACATTAAATCTATATTATAGACAACAACAAAAAAAATCATGACCATGGAGACTTGGATTCCTAAGGGGAGCTGTCTTTGAGTACTGCATGAAGTTCAACCATGTGAATACTGTTGAAATAATGTAAGAAAAGACATTGAAATCTATAGATGACTGGCTGTGATCAGAACTCTCTCGAAATGTTAACTCTGTTTGAAAGATGTTCCATTTTCAAATAAATGGAGAAACGACCCATATGGAATAGTTCCCAATCCACGGTCAGAACAGAAGATAAGAAATTGAAAGTGGATTTACTGCGTCTTTATAAAAGGAACTGAATACTAAGAGGATTTACTGCTACTTTTGTGAACTGGATCATAATGTTGCAGACCTTTGGTGTGATATGAGACCAGAGAGACCAGTGGATCTATTACAGTAGAAGATTAAACAACATTTTTATTTTCATCTTTGTTTTTTTATCATTTTTACTATTTATTATTTGAGGTTCTTCATCAAAATACGGAAGCACAGCTCTGCAGTGAGATGATAGTTGTTCAGGATCAGAAACACACTAACAGAGAAGCTGCCGTCTCGCACAGCCATTTTCTACACTTACAGGCAAATTGACGTCTTATGCCCAAGAAGATTCATGCCCTAGATATTAGTAACACTTAACCACAGAACGCCAGTCTTGTATTTCTACCTCAGGTTATGTATGAAATGAGGTTGTTTATAGGTGACAGCAAATGAAAATGCAACGAATCCCCCAAAAAAGATCAGAAAAAGTTCCAAACTTAATCTTCTTTGTTGCTCTTAGAGAACAAATTCGTCTCCAAGCAGCAAGATTAACTTGTCACCCAGCCCAGCTTGAAATCCTGTTTTTTTTTAGTTGGTTGATTATTTCCCAAGTGATTGGCCATGGTGTCAGGAGCCCCTGTAGGCTAAAAGGTCACCGGTGCAGACAGTGTTTGCCTCAGGGCGCTGTTTTAGATGGTATCGGTGTGTATTACAGTAACCAGACACGAACGGTGTTTGAAATCCATCAAGTCCACTTAATCATTTGCCCCAAGCAGCCAACAACACGATGTATCACTGGGCCGTGATTCTCTAAAGGCAACACAAACAAGAGAGCGAGATAATTACTCATTTAGCAGGTTAAATTGAGGAATTTGTCATTTATTAGCTGGATAAAGGTCACTGTGTTGCTTTAGAGATGGTTTTGCACATTGGAGAAAAGGAAGAAGAATAACTCCTGATGAGCCAATCTTCAGAAAAGTCTGGAAATCTCTTTTCACCAGATTGCATGATACAGAACCTCTTTTTGGTTGATGTATAATTTGACTTGTTTCACCACAGGAACAATTCATCTGTCATTCTATTTCATACAGAGCTGTACATTGCAGTAAGATACTTTGAATTAGTCACTGTTCATATCACTGCCTACAATCAACCGCATTTTAATGCCTTTCTTGATATTCTATGGAACGCTGCCACAAAAACATTGGATAGTCATCTTTTTTTTACAATTATTGTTTAATTCTACAGTAGGTGTACTGTTCTATATATTGGCATATTTTTTGTACAATAACTGGATGAGAATGTAAAGGGGAGGGGGGGAATTGTGCAGTAGTATTTTTATTTTCATGTGAAGAAAACAGTGAGAAGGTGCTTTACTGTGGTGTACCAACATGTTGGTTGCTAGTTGGCGCACTGAAATGGGATTTTACACTGTCGTGCAGGGGGAGAGAGAAGTACCCACAGTTGTTAAAGGGTGGAGTCACTCACATGACAATAATACAGATTTTCTCATGAACCTCTGGTGGTGCGGTTTCTCTTTTCCAGTGATAGGCCTGACAAGACAAAAAGACGTTAGAACAATGAGTTCTTACCCTCTAAAATAAAGAATTTTAATTATATTTACAGTGCATGTAAAAGTTTCCTTTTTTAGGGGACATTTTTATCATTTGATTGCAGCTTGATTTTAGAAACTGTACATTTCCAATGTGATTTATCACAACATGAGATTTTTTTTTTCCCTGGATTGTCTTAAAAGAACTTAATTTGCTTCAGTGTCACCACATACATTTGTCTATTCAGTTTACCTATCACTACAACACTGCTTTATTAATTTTTTAATAAATTAAGGAAGTGACACGAAATGCATACATTTAAAAACCCAGATGAATAAAATACAACCCTCCTGTATTTCCAAATTCCACCAGAAGTGCATGGGCAATTGTTTTTTTGCCATTTGTTTGTGGCGACTAAGTCTCTCTACTTGTGACACGATGTAGCATCCCCCTCCACTCTGCTAACTAACACTATAAATTTAAGTGTGTACTCAACTCGACATAGACATGATTCTCACATGAGGTTCTAGGACAAAAACAAGACAAAAACAATTGTTTCTGTGTGAAAACATTTTGCTACAGAAGAAAATATAAAATATTGATTCATTCCTACGAACCAAATCGCCTCCTCTGTGTTTTCTCTTATTGCACATCAAGTCACTGTGCTTCATGGGTTTCCATTACTAATGGCATTTTTTGATTCTTATTCCTCTGAGTTTAGAGTGTTGCCTTACGGTGCCTCTGGAACGAGCACAGGGAGCTTAATGGAGCGTCCTTCCCCTCTCGCTGTCTTTGCTTACCACAGATAAGTCCAGGGTTGTCCCCCTGCCGTCCGGCGGCTGTAATCAGGCCAGTCGCTGCTGACTCACCTCAACATTGTCCTTATTACAAATCACCTGTACATGCAGCTCCTGGCCAGAGCCCATAATAAGTCCTTAATTCATATAATCTGTCAGGAAAGGTGCTTACGGCAGCACAGAGTAAATATAATCTCCACAAGGGGCAAGCGTTGCATGATAAGACAGCGACATGCACGCGATGGAAGCGGGAGAAATATGACCGCTGGAGGTCTCACACAGGAAGAGCTCTTCTGATCAGGCGCCAGGCTTTGGTTGGAAGCAAAATAAGACCAATTAAAGCATTTAGTGACGGATAATTTGAAAGCAGGAGCAGGTTGTCTGAAGAAAAAAAAAACAGCATCAGACATTTTCAAACTAACTGATGAAATTTGGAACAGCTGAGGTTTCCTGATCAGAGGTAAAACCATTTTAAAATGAACTTGTTATCATGCCTGACAATCTGATGCATTGAATAATAAATCAGGATATGAGTTTTATTTCTAAATGCCAGAGATTTGTTCATTTTCAGCTTGTTTTTAAACCTAAAACTGAACAAGAGCAGCAGGTTATCTGATCTGTATGGCGTATTGTGTCTTTGTTCACGTGGGGAATAAAACCACTTTGCTGTTGTGTACTTAATGAAATGTAAGATTTGTTGACTTTTTCAGGGTTACAACCAACATAAGATCACTTCCATAGAGGCACAAAAACATGTCCCATTTCATTTTTGCCTTGAGGCTGGACACTTGTACATCACAGGTGTGTGTGTGACAGCACATGCTGCTTCAGTGTTAACACTGGACACTGAAACATTTCTTTTTCAAACTTTTCTGTGTGCTGGGAGCCTTCTAACTCATCATCCTTCTACTTTTCCAACCCTAACCTTCACTCTCAGAGCTTTATTCTAAAATATTGAAGCTAAAATGTTTTTTTTGCTGGACTGAATCCCCCTTTTATGTTTTTCCTGTGTGTATTATAGTGTGCTTTTTGCTCACCGGCAGCCTGGCAGGGGGGGGGCTATCCATTACATTTTATGCCTGAAAGTGATTTGAGGCAGTCTGTTTGTAGAGTTTTTGCAGACGCCGTTTGAGGTCATGACCAAAAGTTTGAATAGGATGTGAAGTGAGGGGGGCCAGCTCTCATATTCCCGTTGATAGTGGGTGTCCGTTACAGAAAGCTCTCTGAAAGCCAACCTTATCTATCAGCCGCTCATCACCCTGTTCGTGGGGAGTCTTAACTCCCACAATCCTGCATTAATAACCACAATATTAATAACACACGAGGGAAACTCAGTGACAAAGTTGCACAGCCAGAGATAAATTTGAAATGTAAGCCTGCCAGATGTTATTTAGTCCCACCACAGAATTGCTATCTTCTCGCTCGCCCAGTAACAAGCAATTAAGCGATACCTCTGAGATGGTGTAATAATGTGTCAGGCTGCTAAAGAATGCTCCTCTGGATGGAGAGAAAATGCAATCACATCACCACATTATTGCATTTACTGTCATTTGTGGCATTTCGTCATGGGGGCAGCGGATTTATAAACTAATAATGCAATTTCATTCCTCATGTATGCATATCTTCTTCTATATGAGGAAAAATATAAGGCAACTGTGTCATCTTACTTTGGCAGAAAGAGTAATCAGAGACGCTGTCAAAAGTATTCTGAATTTTATGCTCTGTTCACAATTTATGTCTGACTGTAGCGCATCTGTTAGTGAGCTCTCTGGATGCTTTCATTATGACTTGATCAACCGCTGTTTTAAGATACTTATGGGTCTTCACATGCTGACTTCAGTGTGGATCGTCATCTAAAATCATAGTTGCCAAGTTACTGTAAAAATGTCAAATAGGAGTCACTCTGACTTTGACTTACAACAAAAATCAAGGATTAGTCACTTGATAAGACAGCTAATTTAAAGGAAAATACCAAGACATTAATATAAATTCTAGGCTTTCTGCATTACCAACACTTTAATTAAAATTAAATCCATATCCCGGGGCACATTTTCAGTTTATGTAACCAAAAAATTCTGTTACCTTGACTCCTATATTTCTTGTTAAATTATGTAAAGCTTCAGCCTTTTGTGAGAGGATTCATGCTGGTGTCAGATCGACTTTCCCACAGATGATGCACCTTTATTACGCCTGGGCACACCAAAACTTTCCCTGCAGGGGATGATGCTCGGTTTCCAAATATCAAGTCCCAGCGCTCTGCTGTCGCTCAATTGATTCTCCTTTCACCACCTCCAAACTTTCATCTCCATGCTCAAGGACTCTAGAGTTACTCTGAGTTTGACCTCATATGAGGGGGAAAAGCTGACACTGAACTGACTTCAGAGAATATATCAATACCATCAATACTGCTATAAGCAACTAATAAGGAAAAACACATTTGCATACTTTTTCCACTTGTTTTAGTGCCTTCAGCGTTTAAATATATAATTTTAAAAAAGCGTCAGTCGCTTGACAATTAATAATCATTGTCTGAAAACAGATACACTAGTTCTATTTATGTCTACTGACTGTGCAAAGGGACAGAGATAAATGTCTGTCTTTCACCTAGTGTCATCACTAACAGATAACCTTATCACTACTTATGTTTTCGATTGCTCTGCAAAAACTGTACCATAACCAGCTATATACTTTTTATTTGGTATTGTGTGTTGGTTGGATATTGATTGATGTGAATGGTCATTGGAGAAACAGATAGAAATTGCTCATCATAAACACAAACAAATGGAGAGCAGCTGTTCCTCACAAAACAAAATGCTCCAATATGGATTTCAATGTTATTTTCAGTCAAATATCCTTCAAGACAGTCAGTTAAACGATTATTGATGATACTCCATTTTTAAAATCTTTTTACGAATGGTAACAGTGTTTTTTTGGGGGGCTAAAACCATATGGTATATATTAAGTTCGAGGAAAAATATTAATTATATAGACTTTTATTTCCAACGTGATAAGTTTTGGCGCAAACGTAAATTAAGTTTAATTATTTTCAACTATAAATTAATTTATTTCTTTGATTTTTACAACTTGTTGAGTCTTGAAACACATATATGATGCTGAATTATTTCAAAGAAGAGAGGATAACTCCCCAACACCAACATCAATGAATGACAGAGCTGTAATTTGCATTTGCAATCAGTCAAAGTGCAGATTAGAGGGCAGCTGGGACTCAGAGGAAAGGAGAAGTCACCTGAGCTTTCCAGGGAGGACAGTGGCATCTTTAAGCAACACAAGTCCACCACACAAACGGCAAAACCAAACAACAACACAAACACAATCTTGGAAACATTTCCCTGCTCCCTCAGCCAACAGTAGGAAAGGTTTTCTTTTTTTTTGTTTTTAAACGGTTCAATCTGGAGGAAAAGATGGAGAAAGAGAAATGTGGGTAAAGATAACCTCTGCCTGGAAAAGAAAATAATCCTGCTGCTGAGTGCAAAAACCACTAATCAGTCAGATGTTTTCATGGCCTAATCCCTTCAGAATCCTAACGCTTCTTCTAGTACAATTTATCA